TATATATATATATATATATATATAATTTTAAAGATTTTAGCCATCGATCCGATATTTTACGTAATGCTAATGCCGGAGGTACTGTAATTTTCAAACTGTGTGTATAACTCAAAAAATACTAATGAAAAATAACTTTATAATGTTTTGGAAAGCTCTTAACACCAGCTTTTTAGATTTTGGCATAAAAAATAAAATGTCCCATTTAAAAAAAATCTATTTGACTTTGACTTGACTTCGGCGGCGCCACTCAAGGTCAAGCGAATGTAATCAGTAAACAGATCTTTTTAAGCTCTACAACTTTTGTTGGAAACATTTTTTTCAAAAGTGTTTTACTTTCGAGATATTTGATCGTTTCTAGACTTTTGATACACTCTTACACACACACACACACACACACGCGCGCGCGCGCGCGCATGATGGAAATGTGGATTTAACCCTACAACTCCAATGATTTTGACTTTAACATATGTGACCTGAGTACCTTCGACAGATTTTACTTGGCGATCGCTTTTCGTTAAAAAGTTATTAACAAAAATGTTGGCAATGTAAATGTGTATTTAAGGTGAGGTGAGAGTCGCTTCGCGTGGAAAGTCGAAATCTATATGCAACAGTACAATTATGGAAGTTGTGCGCCTGTTTGCAAGGGAGAAGATAGGGTGAGAGTCGCTTCGCATAGAAACAGGTATAAAATAGTATTTAATACTGTATATGTATAGCAGAAATAAAACGTTATTTTTAAAACTTTTTTTGTTAATTACTTTTCAACGAAAAGCAATTGCCAAGCAAAATCTATCGGAGGTCACTCAGGGGATCATGATCTTGACAACATATGTCAAAGTCAAAATCATCTGCTTCCGTTGTTGCCAATATTAACCACATATATATATTTGTAGATCTTCCTGATAGAGTGTATTCTTATAGTATTTTATGATCCAACTTGTGTTAAATGTAAAAACACCATTAATTTCGAAATCTATCATTATTCATTAGACACAAAGTAAGTTTTTTTGCAGAGTGTTTAAACGACCTATTTTATTATTTTTGGAAGATTTCCCTAGTTTTCTTGGATAAATAAGCATTTTTTCATGAATATACAGACTTCCAAAATGACAACTGCAGTTTTAAAGATGTCCATTCAGGGCCAATTTTGGCCATTTTTATACACCCTCTTTTTTGTGTTAATTTAACATAAGATAAATATGTTAAGAAATAATATCGTGGCGATATTGCATCGTCATTACTCCGGTTATAATAGCTCATGAAATATATGAATCTGCGAGAATAATTATACACATGTGAATGTACATATCCGCGATCCTGATCAGATATTCGATGAAGAAAAAAATGAAAACATATAGAGACAAACACACGAGACAGGTGGACGGATTAACGCAAATACCAAGACAAAACCTGAGACATAAGTAAAAAGCACATAAACAATAGGAATAGGGAATAACAGGTTCCAACCTATCAGAAAGTACTACGCATTCTGGTATATACTATTTCTGATAGATGGAAATCTGTCCCTATCGCTTACACCTTTTAATTGTCTTTCAGGCTTTATGATTTTCGACGCTTTATAAATAGCATCTATTTTATTTTTTTTTCTTAGACAAATAGATAATGCAGCCGGAATACAATAAATACATGTCGGATTTTAATAACGTATAATTACCACGTATAATTAACATATAATATCCACGTATAATTACTACAGGCTGCACGCGCGAGCGAATAAAATTCAAAGCGTATCTCGATATTAAAAGCTGAATATAAAAGCAGATTATAAAACCTTTTCGAATAATCCGAACAGCAAATAGGGAGATAAATTCTTTCTGAAAGAGAGGTTACACGATGGATCGCGAGACAAGAGGGGATTCATCTATGTCGCGAAAAACAGTAAAATTACAATGATTGTTAAAACTTCAAGCGGAGATAATGGCTACAGTCCATTTGATGTTACAAATGTTTCAAAGCATTTTTTGATTGGTCAATTAGTAAAATTCTTTTTTCCAATTGGTCAGTCAGAAGCTTCGAAGCATTTATAGTGGACCGCACCCGTAATGTGTGACTCGCGAAACTCTGACTAGCGCAAGTGTTTCATCTCGAAGAATCTCGTTGCGATCGGCTATCCTTATTCGGAATTATACGAAATTAGGCATATTTTCACGAATTTGTTCCCATCTATCACTGACGTATCCAAGATCTTCAAGCCCCATCAGAGTATGTATAACAGTCTGTTTTTGAAGCTAAAAAACGTGTACTTATTACAGTTTATATTATTTCAGAATAAATTCAAATTTAAAACGAATAAAACGATCTATTTTATTATCATTTTAATCATTATCCAAGATTAAAATTAAAGGATCTAACCTAAGATACAAATATTATGTAAAAAATTAACACAAAAATGTAATATTGACACAATTTGCAAATGTAAGCAAATTGTGGAAACATATTTCGCCAGTAAAATTAACATTTATAATAATATATATTAGATTAATACATTTCAGTAAATTTATAATATATCAAATTAATATTTAAAATTAAACTAATATTGTTATTTTAGAATTATATATATATGATAAATTGTATCATTTTAATACTAAGAAATGTTAAATATTAATTCAATATTCATAACATAAAATAACGCAAAAATACAATGTTTAAATATATAGAGAAAAGGCTCTTATTATGAGATACCGAGTTTATTTTGAGGTACATGCTAGACGTTTATGGACAGAATTAAAAAGAATAAGTCATTTTGAAGGGAATTTAATAAGCTTTAAGATAATGTTATGTAAAATTTAATTTAAATCCTTTTTTTTTTAATTAAAGAAATGTAAATATGAGCAAATTGTAAAGTTAAAAATTGTGCTTCTAATATAAGATGCCCAGAGAAATTGATAGTATAAGTACATCAATATTGCAATTAAGAAACTTTATTTAATTCTAAATTTTTAAAATACAAATATACAGCCAATGCCGCGCGCAAAATAAGCATGCGATGCATTGTACCTGCGATTCATCATCAGACAATTGGAACCAAGCATCACAGAAACAGGCACGATGTTCATTCTGGTTGTTCTTTTTATTATTGTACAATAACATTTATATTTTAGCAACAATTTTCACTGAGACATAAGAGCATAGGTTATTTCATATTAGAAATATCTGGGAATCTCATATTCCGATTTGCACCTTACGGTTTTACGGTCATCAAATAAAACTTCTGTAATTAAGCAATTCAATGTATCCCGTATTTTTCTATTAGTACTTACTCTATTACTACAAGAAGAATTTATTGTCAAATATTTACTTTTATTAAATAATAAACAAGGTTTAAAGAAATAACAAAAATATAAGGACTCTTCGTATATAAAATAAATAACAATAAATGAAGGGCGAAGTAAGAGTCAACGTATTCCTTAAAAAGACATGTAATTAAAGACATAAATTAAAAGTACAGAAAAGATAAAAAAAGACGAAAAGATGTATACTAAGAAATAATAACGGTGAAAGGTAAACATTATAAGTTTCGGCTACCGGATTGAGCCCTCTTCAGATGTTAACATAATGGAAACAGAATAAAATAAAAAATAATTGTCGCAAAAGTTCACAGATTAAAAATACACGCAGTTCGGTTGAGTCTCGATGTAGAACTCGATATTATTCGTACGATTGAACAGTCAAAAAAGTGTCATGTCTCATAGCAAAGTTCAGCAAACATATGTAAAAGATCA